CACTTTGATTTCATCAGAGGAAATCTTGTCGCGTCGTAGGTTTTATGCTTATCTTGCGGCATACTCGGCTTATGGATTAAATGACGCGATCTTTGTTGTTAATTGAGACTGAGATAGGGCTCGCGTGGGATGATTTAATAGATCCTCCGTTGCTTTATTATTGTAGAAGAGAAGTGTTATTAGTGAAGAGTGAATCCTTGTCTAAACCATCCTGCGTCTTAGGCGTTGCACGTCTAATTTAGGTTAATTAGTCTTGCTTTGTCTTGAATTTTTATTGCGAGCTTCCGTCGCTGTTGTTTAGAATTTTTCGTGCATCAATCTTTAAGGTATCGTTCGCAAAAGACGCGCGCAGAACGTAAATGTTAAAAATTTTTCGTTTAAATATAAATTGTGATATTCGGTGCTGTTATCATGGAACTCAATATTTCGTTTGGTAATCTATTTTATGAACGTCGGATTGAAGAAATCATAGTTCGAGTGACTGAACAATCTGTTGTGAGAAAGAGTGTTTAATATAAGAATGTTATCAACTTCGAAATCATATTATTTCATTGATGGTTCTAAAACTGGAATTTCTGATTGAATATCATCCTTTCAATAGGAATAATATTTATTATAAATTTGGAGCAGTTTTATATTTTGTGAGTGAAACATTCTCAATGATTACAGAATATAATTATAATTGCTAGACTAAATCTAATACCAATCTAAAAATATAACTTTAAGACCGAAAGATGTAAACTTCTACTGAATCCTTGTCTCCTATCGAGTTCCGCAGTGTAATAATTATATAACCATTAGACTCGTTCTAGACTAAATCGCTAGACTAAATCTAATACCAATCTAAATATAACTTTAATACCGAAAGATGTAAAATTCTACTGAATCTTTGTCTCCTATCGAGTTCCGCAGTGTAATAATTATATAACCATTAGACTCGTTAGGTGCGTGTTCACATGTTCTCAGCCACAACGATTCGTTAAAATTGTTTAACATGATGTAATTTTTAATTTGATCTAAAAGGCAAGATAGCTTTTACAAATCGACATTTTTGTCACAACGAATCCTACCGCATTTCTGTCCTCGACATCGTCGAACGAAAATTTTGCTGGAAGTACCGCAGTGCAACAATTATGTAACCATTGCAATCCTTAGGTGTGAAGTCAAACATCACGTTTTTTTATCAGTTTTACACAATTCCACATTCTTCAAAAATTAGCGACTTTGGAGAAACTTGGGATTTTAACGATCCATTGTCTGCGGAAAAGTATATTATATATATTATTATATATATTATTTATTTTATTATTATATTATTATTATATTATTATATTATATTATATTATATTATATTATATTATATTATATTATTATTATATTATTTATTTATATATATTAATATATAATTCGTTTAAATTGATGAATTAGTTTTCGAGAGATAAAGCAACCATGCTGCAACTTCAAAGCCTATAATTTTGGTAATTTCTACAATTTTTAAATATCCTTCTAACTAAATACTCTTGCACCATCGTAGACAGTGAGAGACGAGAAAAAGAAATCGATTTTTAGCAAGTTCAAGTCCGGAACCTCTCCTTAATTCAACCTAACCATAGATCATCTCGCAGCCACAAGTTGGTTCGCAGAAAACGATGCTTGATATCGGACGTTCATTGCGAATCGAGTGTCGCAAATGAACCGCGTTGGTAAACTCGCCGCAAGGCCCGCGCGCCCACACTCGAAATTCTAATGATCATTGCTGACCGTCGTCGGATTATGTTGCGCGATGACGCAGTTGCAGGATGCAAATCGTTGCGCACACGCTCGGCGATTCGCGTTTACCTCGCACAATTAGAAGATGCCTCATAACGCAAACGAAAATGGCGGTTCCGCGTGGGCGGTCGCGGTTTTCCGAGATTTTTGTCGCGGTTGCATAGTCGGCGATGACTCCGTCCGACAAATTTCCGATTTCAATATTAATGGCCGTGTGATGTAACCGGAACGAAAAAAATCTCTCGAGTGAATTAACACGTCGAGCGGATTTCCAGCGCAAAAACCTGGAGATCGACAGGAGAGACTGCGCGGCTTTTCCATTCTCCTCTTTTTTTTTTCATTATCGCTGGTCCAGAGATATCGTTGTATTTTAAGACATCAAGCTTTTTAAACTTTTATTATGCTGATCGATGCTGCATTCTATGCTAATTTCTTTCGATAAAAAGGGAACGTTCTCTCGCGATGATAAAATACGTAAGTTTATAATTAGGGGACAAGTGTTTAGAATTCACGTTTTTTCAGAACCAGTTTGCAGGATCGAGAATCAGAGAAGAGGTGAAGATGAATATTTAGTGTGCTTAGCGTCATGCAAAAATTTTCCTTGGAATTTTGTTTTGTTCGAATATACTCGACACGTCGAATTTAAATGCATGTACATATTTAAAGTGATTAACAGAATAGTGGCACAGCTATTGTGCTTTCGTTTTCATCGAGCATTCGCTGATGTAATATTTTAGCAGATAGCGTTTATTTTGTGTAGGAAATTGAAATTTCGGAAACAATAAAAGCGTCGGAAATGTAGATTCGCAATTGCTTGGAGACTACAGCGAAAAGATCTATTGTTCGTTCGCAAGCTCCACGGATTCCGACCACTATTTTCACGCTATATTCTGCTTGAAACTGAATACCTGCAATATATAATATAATATTAATATAATATTATTTATAATTAATATATAATATTTTAGCAGATAGCGTTTGTTTTGTATAGGAAATTGAAATTCCGCAAATATAATAAAAGTGTCGAAAATGTAGATTCGCAATTGCTTGGAGACTACAGCGAAAAGATCTATTGTTCGTTCGCAAGCTCCACGGATTCCGACCACTATTTTCACGCTATATTCTGCTTGAAACTGAATACCTGCAATATATAATATAATATTAATATAATATTATTTATAATTAATATATAATATTTTAGCAGATAGCGTTTGTTTTGTATAGGAAATTGAAATTCCGCAAATATAATAAAAGTGTCGAAAATGTAGATTCGCAATTGCTTGGAGACTACAGCGAAAAGATCTATTGTTCGTTCGCAAGCTCCACGGATTCCGACCACTATTTTCACGCTATATTCTGCTTGAAACTGAATACCTGCAATATATAATATAATATTAATATAATATTATTTATAATTAATATATAATATTTTAGCAGATAGCGTTTGTTTTGTATAGGAAATTGAAATTCCGCAAATATAATAAAAGTGTCGAAAATGTAGATTCGCAATTGCTTGGAGACTACAGCGAAAAGATCTATTGTTCGTTCGCAAGCTCCACGGATTCCGACCACTATTTTCACGCCATATTCTGCTTGAAACTGAATACCTGCAATATATAATATAATATTAATATAATATTATTTATAATTAATATATAATATTTTAGCAGATAGCGTTTGTTTTGTATAGGAAATTGAAATTCCGCAAATAATAAAAGTGTCGAAAATGTAGATTCGCAATTGCTTGGAGGCTACAGCGAAAAGATCTATTGTTCGTTCGCAAGCTCCACGGTTACCAACCACTATTTTCACGGTATATTCTGCTTGAAACTGAACACCTGCAATATATAATATAATATTAATACAATATTATTTATAATTAATATATAATATTTTAGCAGATAGCGTTTGTTTTGTATAGGAAATTGAAATTCCGCAAATAATAAAAGTGTCGAAAATGTAGATTCGCAATTGCTTGGAGGCTACAGCGAAAAGATCTATTGTTCGTTCGCAAGCTCCACGGTTACCAACCACTATTTTCACGGTATATTCTGCTTGAAACTGAACACCTGCAATATATAATATAATATTAATACAATATTATTTATAATTAATATATAATATTTTAGCAGATAGCGTTTGTTTTGTATAGGAAATTGAAATTCCAAAAACAGTCGAAAAGTGTTGAAAACGTAGATTCGCAATTGCTCGGAGGCTACAGCGAAAAGATCTATTGTTCGTTCGCAAGCTCCACGGTTACCAACCACTATTTTCACGGTATATTCTGCTTGAAACTGAACACCTGCAATATATAATATAATATTAATACAATATTATTTATAATTAATATATAATATTTTAGCAGATAGCGTTTGTTTTGTATAGGAAATTGAAATTCCAAAAACAGTCGAAAAGTGTTGAAAACGTAGATTCGCAATTGCTCGGAGGCTACAGCGAAAAGATCTATTGTTCGTTCGCAAGCTCCACGGTTACCAACCACTATTTTCACGGTATATTCTGCTTGAAACCGGACACCTGCTGGTATGCCACTTTTCCGAAAGGGTATACCTTTTCCTGCTGGTACTAAAAGTGTGATACACCTTCGTTCGTCAAGGTGAACTGGACGCGGCAGCAACTTTGCGTAGGTGTCGACGAGACGCCCAGTAAGTTAATAGTGGCGCGTGCGGCTTATTATACGCGTTTAGCGTACAATTACGCCAGGAATGATTAAATTAAGTCGAAGATGCCAGAAATTTTATTTATCATTTTTTTATTCGTGAAGAAGATATTTGGTAGTTAACGAAGAATAAGATATACCTCGATGTTTTGTATGAGTACATCGTTTAATCAGTGATTTATAGAAAGTTGCATGTTTATTTCGCTCATAAAATTAACTTAATTGCGACACCTTTTATCCAGAATAATATTTATATTTCGACATTTTTTTATTCTTCTTGAAGAATGGTTTTCTGAAAGTTGTTTTGTAAAATGGTAATACTTTTCTATATGAAATCGAAATTATTTCATTAAATATGATAATTACGACATTATCCAGACTAATATTTGTATTTCGACATTTTTTATTCTTCTCGGTGAATGGTTTTCTGAAAGTTGTTTTGTAAAATGGTAATACTTTTCTACATGAAATCGAAATTATTTCATTAAATATGATAATTATTACGGTTGCTGAACTTGTTATTAATGGGTTAATTATGTCCCTTGTGTATAAGATTCGAATAGATATGGAATGTAGAAGAGAATCGCAGCTCCATCTCGTTGCAATTGCGAAAGTCTGCACCTGCAAATGCCAGTATGCGCTGCATTACCGCATTTTGCTGGTGCAGCAGGAATTAATTAAGTGCATCAGTTCACAGACTTAAAAGTGGGAAATATCGACGTGGTACTTATTTGTGAAATTATCAATTCTGCCTGCGATTAATATGCGGTTCTTATTAGGGTCATTATACTTAAGTACGTTTGCTCGATATCATGATTTTAGCTAATTTGTTAAATCTGTAATTACATTCTAAATGGTATTTTACTAATCACGCTTAATCGCGTTAAAAACCTCTGTATTACTTTCTCTTCCAACTTATCGTTCAAAGTGCACTGTGAACAAATTATTTCACGTAGTCTCAGCTCCGTGAAACTTATTCATAGAACTTCTAAATTCTTCGACAACATCGATACACTAGGAATTCTTGACTGTGCTCACAAGACCTATTTTGGAACATGGCAGTATCATTTCGACTCCATTTGATGAAGTTAGTTCGTGACATTTGTTAGTGAAAATTAATTTGTGCACCGAAAATGATCGCTCCACGTCACACAATGTTATCGGCGCACACTCAAAACTCGAGCAATGTGTGTGTGTGTGTGTTGTGGTACACACACACACACGCATGTATCGGTTCTTCTGCGAATTCGCCGCTTAAAATACGTGAAATTTTTCTTAATTCCACGAATCCGTTATTCTTTTTTTAAAGTAGCACTTATTTTCTTTTTAATTTTTTCCCCACAACCACCAGGGACGTTTTCCAATTGAATTTTACAATTCATATACATTCCTGCGGAAAACGATCTAATTTATATTATAATCTAATTTATAATATATTATAATTATCTAATTTATATTATAATATATATTATATTATAATATCTAACTCTCTCTTATAGTTTCTAATTTCTGAATCGTGGTCGGTAAGATGTTTAAACGAGTTTTTATGAACACGAAATTCACCTTATCGTTTCGATAATCGAACCGAATTCGAAAATTTTCGAATTCGAAAATCAAAACGTTCAGTTAGAAATTCAAGGTTGCGAAAACATGATTTGTTGTGGCGTATACTCTGCATTATACATATTGACGTATTGACTGTTACCGACTCTATCCGGTTATGGTACGAGTGCTTACTAATAGATCAAATTAATTTAACGAGATAGACGTTTCGTATAAGCATAATATATGCATATACACGGCAAATAACATACGGAGTGCATGTTTGCATACGTTTTTAAAGATAAATATGCAAAACATATGTATACGCAACGTATTGTACAATAATTATTTTTATTAACCTTACTAAACGATACTTTAATATTATACTAATATTATACTAAAATAATATTTAATATATTAATTTAATATATATTTATTATATAAAATTAAATTAAATATTATTAATATTTAATTTTAATATTATAATTAATATAATAATATATTTATATTACTAATATTTAATTTTAATATATATATATATTTTAATATATATATTTAGTATTATACTAAACGATACTAAAATTACTTAGGTAATTTTTATTTTGTTTTTCCTTACGTATTACCTTCTCTTTTGCGAAAGTTTTCTTTCCCTCGAATAAATGAATAAATAAATAAATAATATGGATTCGAATTAAAACGGTCTTCACAGAAATTCCGATCTTCTCCTTTTTACGCTTTCGAGGCGTAGAACTGTTCAATTCTTCGAAGCATTTGATCAATTATATTGTTAGACGGTACAATCTATTACTTCACGATGACTCACGAACGTTTATGTTCCCCGGTAATGGACAATAAACATTTTTTCCTCCTCGTTCGTCCACTAAGGCTATGCTTCGTCAACGGCACCAAAGAAGAACAAAAAACTATACGACTGTTGTTGTCGTCATTGATCCAACAATATGGACCAACGTCTACTAAGCCTCGCAAGCTTATTGTCCGCTGAATGTTCAGTGGAATCTTTGCACAATTGTGCCAACTTTCCGCGATTAAGTTTATTTCGATAAGAGCCTAAGAGCTGGTGAGCAAACAATGAGATTAGGTCGGTGTCGACGAAGGCCAAGCAATAATATAATATTTATTTATAGAACAATGAGTCCCGTCATAGATATCGGAGCAATTATCACTTACAAAAGGCTGTTCACAGTTTTTGAGCGATAAATGGAAATGTTATCAGCTACGTAATCAACGTTTCGTTTCACGTTACGAACAGTCAATTTCGTGCAGCAGTGCTACGCACAAGTAACTATTCGATTCGATTTTATTTTATCCAGAACATTTTTAAACATATGGTGGAATACGTCTGATCTTATCATCGAAGTGGCGAAGCATTTGTTTCTAATTTATAGATATAATTCTAACAAATTATGCGTAATCGATCTTGGACTTCTTTCTTTTCTTTTCAATCAATTAAAACGATTCCCGTAGCATTTGATTTAACTCTTTCCAACTAAATTGTTGAAGAAGTCTTGAAAAATTCGAGGTAAAATTCATAATAAATTCGGACGCAATTAATATAAAATATTATATACGAAATATAATATAATATAATTTTAATAATATATAATTATATATAATTATAATTAATATATAATATATAATATATATAATTAATATATAATATATAATATATATAATTAATATATAATATATAATTATAATTAATTATATATAAATATAATTTTACTTGCTTAAATATGATTAAAAAAATAAACCACTTTCTACGAATACGAAGTCATATGGCTGACTAAGACTGTACTTGTCGACAAATAGCAAAATTATTACACTTCTTTATACAATTATAAACCGATCTACATTCGGAGCATAAACAACAAGCGCCAAACCCATAAAGTGGATGTAAAAACTGTTACACATCGACGCAAGGATTAACCGTGCTTCGCACTGGGCCAGCTTCGAGAGAAACCCGGGATCTCGGATAGGTGCACGGGATGATCAAAAGCTGTATCATCGAACGACCGAGCGTTCGAACACCATGGAAAACGATGGTCGTTGGACACGTGGAGCGCGCGAGATAGGCCATAAACAGTGGAAAGTAGAGCTGACAATGGCGATGTAAGTTGGCAGCCGACCCGATTACACCGTACGCCAGGGTCGTGTGCCGGTGTTCACCGGCAGTTTTGCGCGACAANTAATATATATAATTAATATATAATATATAATTATAATTAATTATATATAAATATAATTTTACTTGCTTAAATATGATTAAAAAAATAAACCACTTTCTACGAATACGAAGTCATATGGCTGACTAAGACTGTACTTGTCGACAAATAGCAAAATTATTACACTTCTTTATACAATTATAAACCGATCTACATTCGGAGCATAAACAACAAGCGCCAAACCCATAAAGTGGATGTAAAAACTGTTACACATCGACGCAAGGATTAACCGTGCTTCGCACTGGGCCAGCTTCGAGAGAAACCCGGGATCTCGGATAGGTGCACGGGATGATCAAAAGCTGTATCATCGAACGACCGAGCGTTCGAACACCATGGAAAACGATGGTCGTTGGACACGTGGAGCGCGCGAGATAGGCCATAAACAGTGGAAAGTAGAGCTGACAATGGCGATGTAAGTTGGCAGCCGACCCGATTACACCGTACGCCAGGGTCGTGTGCCGGTGTTCACCGGCAGTTTTGCGCGACAAACCCATAAGGTTTGACCTAATATGGCGACTTGGACTTTGCGAATGCCACTGCTCTGGTGGGGATCCGTATGGAGAGCTCCTTTGAGGCCTTCGGGTCTCTCTCCTCACGGAGTCCCCCAGTGCCTCACCGGACGTGTGTTACGCCGCACACGCGTTTCCATGTAACCACGATTACATTTCCGTCCCAGGCAGCGAGCACCGTCGTCCTAGACACCGCGGGAACCATTCTCGTGGGACTGTCTAATTGCATTTTCCGCACGGGGAACCGCCGTCGTGACGTTTCCCGCTAAATCACGCCGAAAGGATCACGGAGCAATTCCGGGGAGGGAATATCCTGTCGACGGAGGATAATTTCGCCGGGCTGTTCAAGAGCCAAGTGTAAGGTCGTCGGGGTGTCAGTGAGTTTCGGTTCGTCTACCTCGCGGCAGCGGCCTCGAAGAAGTTCGTCGAACAGTGGTTCCGCGGTAGAGTTACGTTTCCACCTCGCCGGGAGCTGTCGGCAGATTCTTCGAAATTATGTGGAGTATCGCGTGCACGTTTACCTCGAAGAGTGTCTAACCGGGAGACGTTAAATCGATTAGAACAGAGAGAGAGAGAGAGAGAGAGAGAGAGAGAGAGAGAGAGAGAAGGGGGGACTCGGGAGTGCGTCAAAGATATCCGGCCGCATCATGTCAACAACGGCGCACCAGCAAGCGGCGATACGTCGCCTGGAGGCGCTCTTCAGGGACGTTAAGTTGGAGCAGCAGCAGTGCAGCCCCGAGGTGGTTAAAGTGGAGATTGATTCGAGCTGTTGCGACATCCATGGGAAACACGCGAAGGAGAACTGCTGGAATCGCAGGGGCTCCATGGGGAGCAGCCAGCAGACTAGAAGAGACTCGCTCGGCCGCCGGGACAGCCATCTGGGGAGCTCTCCGAGCAGAAGAGGGTCCCTCGGCCTGCCCATGTCGCCGCCGAGGAAGGAGCTTCATCCCTCGAGCTTCCCGAACACGCTCAGGAAGAACCCGTTGGGCTCCTCGATGGGCGCGATAAATCACTCGAAGAAGGACATTTACGCGTCCACCATCGGCAGCTCGGCGCTGAGGCGGGACCCCATCGGTAGATCGATGGGATGCCTGAAGAAGGACACCGCGTCCAACTATAATTCACCTCTGAGACGGGACTACGTCGCGAAATCGATGACCAGTCTGCAGAGGCCGAGCTCGCGGAGGGATGTCAACACGTTGTCCAGCTTGTTCGCGACCTCGCCGACCTCGCAGACCGCTCTGAAGGCTGGTCTGAGCGCGTCGAACGCCGATCTGAAGGCGAAGAGCGCCACCAACCTGAAGAGCTGTTTCGCCGGGTCCAGCGGGAACCTCAGGGGCAATCTGAACGTGACGTTGAGCACCGATCTGATGGGATCGAACGGGAGCTTGAGGAAAGACAGGCTTGCG